ACGCGCCACGACGCCACCCCTTCGATCTGACAAGCGGAGCTTACGTAAGCGACAGTCGTGCTGTCTTTCAAATTACTCGGATGTCCCGGCGAACGCCGCGAGCCTTCTAACGCTCGACTTTTCGCTCCGGCAAAAATTCACGACTTCGGCGAGCTGCTTTTCTTGCGATCGGATCGGATCGGGGATCCGTGAGGGTCCGCGTTTCCCTTTTCCGAGACAGTCGAAATTCACTCGAACCGTTCTGCGTGTCCCCATGTTGACGACAAGGGAGACAACATGATCGACTGATCTAGGGTAAGAGGTTTTCGTACCGAGCTCCTTTGGTGCGCCATTTCCCAGAAAATACAAACGAAAAATTACAAACTTATTAGGGAAATTTATTGACACCGATCAAACCGAAATAAAACTTATCGATAAGACTCTTAACGAGTAGAGTTCATTAAATTAATTGAAACTGTGAAATTCTCAGAAACAAACGTTCAGTCTTCAGTCTTCAGAATCTCGCGGTTCTTAATGAAACAAACACGCAAACACGGCGTACACGTGCACGTATCGGTATGAGTCGTTGTAATTTAAATTATATCGAACAGTATAACGAAGAAAGATTGGATTAGAGTCTCGAAAACGCGAGATAGGAGGGTGGCCAGCCCCCTGAACGTCACCCCGTGTGAGAGAAATGTTCTCGAAGAAAGTAATTGCAAGAGACGGCAGAGTCCGCTTCCAGAAATAGGAATAAATTCTCACCCGTACGGGGAATACTATTTTCACGCGGAGGGGGAAAACAATGGTTATACGGGGGTCGGTGTTACGCGAATTGCGGTTGCTCACCGCTTCGTCCACTGGCGGTGGAAGACGAAATGGGACGATTTCTCATTCAGAATGAAGAGTAACGTTCCCTTCTCCGCTTCACCTTGTTGCTTTACGCTTGCTGAATATCGGGCGGTGATGGTCGTGTCTGCTGCTGGGAACATTCCCTGAAACTCCGTCCGACGTGTAGCTACGGCGAGCGTATAGGGTTGGCGTAGAACGAATCACCGGCCCAGGTTGTACGTAGAACGACAAACGACGGATAAATTATTCGAAATAGCTGTTGAACGCATCTCCGGCCCGGGTGTGATCTGCCTGCCAGATCTACAAGCAAATTACATCGAATTTGACGTGCGGCTAATACAGCAGAGATCAACGCGTCCCACGTAATTTACGTAACGCCGTCCATCACGTTACTTATTAACGTTTACGCGAACATCGGCATTGAATTATCGTCGAACAACGTTTCCCATTACACGGACGGAGGAATTTCGGTTATTGGTTCCCGAACCGGGAGTCGTCGTATCTATTTGTTGGGCAGTTTTCTGTTTCTTCTTTTTTTTCTTCTTCTTTTCTCATCTTTTGATGGGGAGCAGTTGGAAACTGACGCAAAATATACGAGATGAAAGGCGGAACTGGCTGTCGTAACACGCACTCTCTTTCTCTCGTGTTCTCTTTTATTTTTGCCTCCTGCCCCTCTATCGATCCCGAGCGCGTTGGCCTCGATCGCATCAGTCAATTTACCGGCCAGGACTGTCGATTAAACCGAGCGCGATACTTTTAATGGCGACGGCTTGTTTCCTGTCTGGAACGACCATTAATTTTAGGCTGTGAGCGGCGCGATATCGATGGCAGAACAGATGTCCGTATCTGTTGATAAAAGCGCGTCCATAAAAGTGAGCTTTACAGGATAATAACACGTGTACGTTTGACGTGTGTGTGTGTGTTGTGTGTGAGTATTCTCTAGCTGGACACGGGACTCGGCGCAGCAAATGAGTATGAACGTTTTCCAATCAAATCAAAGCTAGTCCGCGGACGCAAGAAAAAAAGAAACAAAGACAGAGAGAAAGAGAGAGGAGGAAAGAAAGGACCAGGTCGAAAATCCAGCCATAGGGAATCAAGGAGAAAAACAAAACAGATAGAAAGAGGGGAAGAGAGATACTTCGTGCGCTTCAAACGATTCACGTTGGCTCTCCTGGAATTTTACTGGTATTTTATAATTGATTAAACTTGGCTTTTATCAAACGAGCGAGTGGATGAAAAGCAGCCGAACGTACGTAGGGAACCTTTTTTTTTTTTTGCCATCGGAATTAAACGTGTTGCGATTCATTCGTACAGAGATTATCTTCGACTCCCGGCGATCGATAGTTTGTGAACCGCTCGTGAACGTGCCGCAAAATCGCGAGCCGCTCGCACGAATTTACTTTCAACCATCGAATTAAGCGTTCGAAATCCATTAGCCGGCTAATCTCGTTTCTTGCCCCCGGAAATGCTTCTCGGTCCCGTTGAATTCCCGTCGTGTGTTGCATCGTCCATGGAAAGCGAGTGCGCGACACATTTTGTGTGCGAAATGCGCGCACAGAGAGAAACGTAGAGAGAGAGAGAGAGAGAGAGAGAGAGAGACATTCGCAAATCGGCTATATCCACGGAATTCTTCCGAAAATACGCGACTGGTGACAGGATGAAAAGCACACGTAGGAACGTTGGCTGCCGATATATTGCTTCGTGGCGACATGGTAATAGCAAACGCCGCGCTGCGGAGACAGCAAAGTAAACAGGTGATCGATATTGTTTGATTTATGCACGAAGGGGCAGGGCGGGCGATCGCGCCACGATCACCAAGTGTTTTCGGTGCATGCATTCACAGGGCAATGGTCGAGGTTACGCGTCCACCTAGCCACGTCTATTCACGTGCGAGCGCGCCAACCCTGGTCTGCTCTGTCACCAAGCAAAATGTCTCTCGTCGATACGTGTGCACATGTATGTATCCATACACACGCATGAAAGAGAGAGAGAGAGAGAGAGAGAGAGAGAGAGAGAGAGAGAAAGCTACTACCTGCTTCGAATTTCTAATTTTCGATGTTGACAGGCGAACGACGAGGCGCCACCCCTTTTCACCTCTCTGGCGCCTCGTCTTTCGCCGACTCACCCCCTCCGGCCACCACCCCATTTTTCCACCGATGGTGGTGACCTGCGATTCAACAGAGCAGCAGCAACTCGCCACGTAGCCGTTTATTGGCCACTGACTGGCGCACGCAATAGCCGCGCGCAGGATTTATGAAGCGCCCTGTTATACCATCGGGGTGCTCCGACGGATCACGTCCGCGAGACGAATTTTCGAGGAAACGAGCCGCGAACTTTTCCGCCCAACTTTTGATAAAGAGCCCCATGTACCACGGCGAGTTTTTCCCGAGAATCGGTCGGGAAAGTTTGAAGATCCCTTAATGAAGACATCGTACGCGATCGGCGAAACGATCGAGAATAGCAATTTAGAGGGTGAGAAAGTTCGCACCCTCTGGTTCAACGAAGTCGCGGAGGAATTGTGTTTCCCATTTGAAAAAGAACATTGGCTCTACGAAGGCGACAGCGCCTCGAAATCGTGAAAATTTCGAGTGGATAAGTAACCAAATTTCAGAAAGATTCGGAAGGAGTACACTTGAATTTGAAGAAATTCAAATCCTGAAACTCTGAAGAAGCGTCGTCGCTTGCGAAAATTTTGAAGGGAGGAGAAAAATGAAAGAAAGAATTTATAGAGAAATGTAGAGAAGTAACGAAGTGACAGCAGCGCGCGATTAAATTGTAAAATTTCGATTCGCCGATGGAACACCTTCGATCAAATTCATAACCCCGTTATCCCCATTGAAAAACATGGAATTCCGTTTCCACACGTATATCGAAAGCACACAGAGGAGGAGTATGCAAAGTGTTCCCCATGTATAATTTCAAAGTTGGAGAACGCCATTATTTCATCGACGATTCCGGGCGTGTGGCGGAGCGTACGTCGAATACAGAGGATCGCGAATATTTGGCCGACACTCAGAATAGTTGAATGATGAGGGTGCAAATGGAAGGGATGATCCAGTGCTGCTGCAGCGAGAGAGAGAGAGAGGGCAGAGGCGCGAGAGAACACGCCTGACTGCTGGTTAGAACGGGATACCAGCTTCCTAGAGGATATATGGGCACAGAAGAAAAAGACGTCGTTACCAGGAGCTCATTAACGGCAAACTATCCTCAAGACAGCACCTCCTGGTCGTAGCTCGTAGTCGCGGACTGCTAGAAGCTTTCGAAGAATGTAGCCTTGGATGTTAGGCTACGAGAGGAGGAACTGCGCAGCTTCAATACTAATTAGTCCATCGGCTCGATCGTTCCCTGGTAAAAGCTTCCTTCCCCCGGCGTTTACCTCCCCCTCTTGTTTTTCTCGCCTGACTTCTCCTCGTTACGTTACGTTCACCTCTCATTTTTCTTCCCAGTTTCTTCTCGGTTTCTCCGCGCGCGAACTTTCCATCCGTCCTTTCGATAAATAGCGGCGCGACGAATTTTGCACGGGAACAAGGCGAAGGCTCTTCTGTGTGTGTGTGTGTGTTTGCTGTACTTTCAGTTCTAGCTTTTTCTTTCTCTACTCCGCCTCTTCCGTTTTCTAACGCTTCCAGGAATCCAGGCTTTCGCGCGAGAATAGGCGAAATTTGGACCGGTGCCATGCCTAACTACCCTCCCCCACCTTCTCTCCCGGCGAACGTTTCAGGTTGGCGTTTCTGAAGTTCGCCCAATTACCAGGCATTAGTCTCGTTTCATCTCGTCTCCGGGGCGCGAACAGCGCAGTTTCCTCGCGCCGCTTCTGCATTCGCTATTATTTCATTAGGAACTGCCCGATACTTTCACGGGATGTGAAATACTTCTGTTTTCATCTCGGAGGGAGAATTCCAGCGACCTGATTGGATGGCTGGATTGGTTTGATTTATTTGCGATAGAGAAGTTATTGCTTTTGATGTTGAAAAATGTCCTTCCCCTCCTCGGCGTCGATAGCAAAAGCAAGCTTTAATAATTTTAAACACCTTGATGGCTCCATTGTAATAAATTGCATTGGAAAATCCAGAATTTCATAGCAGAGATCGTGATACTTATCGGTGCCGTTATATAAACGCTAGATTCTAAATTTGGCCGCTGGCAGTGTAGTAGGTACGGATAGCCAGGTAATGAATGAGCAGGCGAGCGAGAAGATGAGCGGCACGGATAAAGGACATATAATAGCCCGGGGAGCGGGGATCCAGGGAGAAGCTGGGAATCGATGGGATATTCAAGTAATGACAACGATAACGACGGTGACGATAATCAACGAGCAACACCGGCGTCGAACGCAGTTTCGCTGCAACGACGACGATGACGAACGACAGCGAGCGGTGGCCATTAAATTGATACCACCTGCTAATTGGTATCTCTAATTTCTATCGGCTGTATGTGGCGACCGACTCTCGCGATAAAATGATCGGCTGAAATCCATCCATCGGGCGATTGACGTTCACCGATGTCGCGGCGAGTTGCCAGATCCGCCCGATCTTCGTGGATCGCGATCGAACACAGATTCTCGCAAAACGCCTCGACGTCGTCACGTTTCCCGAGCGCTGTCGCACTTTTATCCCGGTCGTCAGTCAATGTTTGCCGCGCGTCTCCCACCTCGCAGAACGTAGCGAAATAAAATTGAGGCGAACCGATCTGCCTCTCCCCGTGTATACGTAAACTGATTGACGCGCTCGGCTGCTCCGAGCTGGATCTCGCCGGGAAGCTTTTGCCGGGAACAGGGACAGAGGCGGTAAGAAATACGCGAAGGAATAAGAGGAAGACGAGAGCCGTCTGAGATAAGTACAAGTGGAAACCTACGTACCTATGTACATACATACATACATACATACATACATACATACATACATACATACATACATACATCGAACGCCCGTCCATAAATCGAGTTTCACCGCCGACGAACTATGGTTCCCATCGTTTTCACCAGCCCTCTGCTTTACCTCGCCAACACACGCGAGCGTGCATATTCCTTCTCGACGCGGCAGACCTTTTTTCCCGAGAAATTACCGCGAATGGCTGAGAAAATCATCGTTCCGCGGTGGAACGACGGGCGGAGCGGAAGGGAGAGAGGGTCTTTCTCTCTCTCTCTCTCTCTCTCCATTTTCTCCGTGGCGACGACACGACACTCACTTGGCTGCGTATCGAGGCCGCAACACGTCTAGTCGGCCACGTCGTCGCCGTTTAGAAAATGCCTGCACGTACGCGTTGCGGCTCGCGGCGCGAAGGGTTGAGGCAGCGAAGGGTTGTGCCACGAAAGGCAAGAGACGCGAGAAGGAAATATTCCGTGGCTCGAGAGGAAATTCTTCGTATCCCCGGGAAAATTTCGTTCGGTTCCCAGCTGCGCACGTCCCGTGTTTCCCTCTTTCTTTTACCCTTCTTCCTGCTTCTTTCCCCTCCTCTTTTTTTTCCCCCACTGTTAAACTGCTACGTGTCCTTTATCCGACGACGTCGAGACGCCCTCTGCTTTCCTCTCCTGCTTTCCTTTCCGGTCTGTCGTTCGATGCCTCGTTCGATTCACGAGCGCCGCGGATTCTCCGGAGGATCTCGCGGCGAATAACTGGCTGCCGGATTAATGGGAAATGGGAAGATCGCGTTGAAGGTGCGCACGTTGCCATTCAAAGGGCTGTCTCTCTCTCTCTCTCTCTCTCGGCTCGCTCTCGGCTTCGAAACGGCAAAGCCACTGAAAGGCTCGCGCTGGTTACCATCCGGCAAATTGCTCTCCGTGATGTTTTTACGTAGCGAGTGTGGATCGCGAGGAAACCTGTTTTGCTCCTGTCTTGTTCTTTGTCCTTCTTTCTCTCAGCTCTTTGTCAGAGTACAAAGAGGAAGATGCAGAAGCGAGCAACTGTCTCTCTTGGATCTGTTCGTTGGCGATTCCTCCTGAAACGACGAGACGCGTTCGTGTTTCCGCGATACCAACCTGTTCGTGTACTGCGAACAACGTCCTTTATCAGTCTGTAATTCCCCCTGGTCCCGAAATCTCGACGACGAGGCGGCGAGGTTGTTTCGAGCATGCTCTCCTCCGAACAGCAACTTAAATCCTTATCGAAACAATTTCAACACCGGTATAGAAATTTACTCGGCGAGAGAGCGAGAGAGAAAGAGTGAGAGAGAGACAGAGAGAGAGAGAAACTAGTTTCAGCTACTTTGGAAAGAGTGGAGAGAGAAACGTTAAAAGGATCGTTGATTCGTAATCAGATCCGTGCTGAACTGAACTACGGGTAAACTGTAATTCCAACTTGAAGAACAGAGCAACTTGGCCGAGTTGGAATTTGCATTGGTGTCTATTTCTTTCTCTCTCTCTCTCTCTCTTTCTCTGTCTTTCTATCCCCCCCCCCCCGAGCTCGAACGATATTTATATTTACCAGGCGCCAGGACTTTTGTATTCAGCCGGGGCTTTCACTCCCTCCCCCCTCCCTTTCTCCTCCTCACGCCCCCGGCTCCCCGACGTTGGAAAAATATTTCTGTAATTAAAACGCTGCCGCGCGGGCGGAACGTTTCAGTGGTGGCGCGCCATCCGGAGTGGAGGATCTCGTTTTATTCGCAGATTTCTCGCCTCGTTGTACTTTAACAGCGGTCGAAATTCCGCGATAACACGCACACCGCGTAACTGTCCTTCGTTCCGCGTAATTTCGGCGCTGAGAAGCGTGTTCGAAGATCTGGAAGATCGGCCGGTGGCTGACTTGCGAAGAGGTTCGAACCTCTGCGTGGCCAACCGGAGTTCGTAAGAGCCGAAAGATATTTAATTTTCTCCGACGGGGCTGGTTTCTCCGCCGGATGTAAAAAGCGCGGAACGATAACTGGCCTGTTTCTCTCGCCTTTCGTAGAAAAGGCTTGCACCGGCGATAAAGAACGATCGTGCACGAAATTTATACTTAAAGGGGGTTTCCTCCACTATCTTCTCCCCCCTTGACGTCTCTCTCCTTTTCCATCTTTCTCTTTCTGTGTGTGTGTGTGTGCGTGCGTACGTGTGTGTGTGTGTATTTGCCTCTGCCTCTTTCCATATCGCTCGTTACGGATGCTCGAATTCGCAGAATAAATTCGCGGAACATCTCTGGCGTGAAACGCGGCCTCAATTCGTATCAAAATAACGCGAATTCCAGACGAGAGGAATTTTCGGGCTGCGGAAGGAAAAAAAAAAAGAGGAATTTCCACCGACCCTTCCCTTCCCCCTCTCTCCCTTCCACCCGCTCGTGAATTCGAACCTCGCGGGAGAACGGATTATTTTCGGTGGATCCGATCGGAAACGGAATTATTCCAAACGACGTGCTAACGTCGTTTAATTTTCGTATCGATTTTTAATGCCGTTATCTGCAAAATATTCCCTCGTCCGCGGTGTGTGTGTGTATGTCTGTGTGTATGTCTGTGTGTATCGGTGCCGACGGTATCGGAGAGTCGACGGGTGTTCGATTAATTTCGCCGCGTGATTAATGTCGCTGGCGGTTGTAAAACGTTGTAAAACGAAACGAGGAATCCTTATCGACGCGTTTCACCATCTTCACCCTCCGCTCCCGACGCCAGTCGAGAACTTCTCCCAAGGATCGAGAGAGATTTCGACGTTCTCCCGTTCTTGACAGAGAAGGATTGCGTTCTCCTCTTTTGCGTTTTCAAACCCCCTTTCTGACTCTTCGGTATCCGCCCTCCCACTTTCGTTCTCTTCGCCGCGACTCTCTGTACGTCGCGGCGAAGGATGCAGTCGAGAATAATTAACGACGGGCGAGAAGATGTTCTTCCCGGCGAACATACGTTTAACGAGCCCCATCGTCGAGGGTTTCGAGCACCATTGCCGGTAAACGCGCCGCGTCCTTTTCGAAATGGGAGGGAACGAGTCGGCGTGAAAGGGGTGACTTTCGGCGTAGAAACGCCCGGTTCGTCACGAACCAGCGGCACGTACTTGCGTAATTGTCGGGCCAGCTAGCGGGGAGACGTTTAACGATCGGAACCATAAACGACAGCCGATAAACGGACAGAGAATGGTCTGGGAAATTTCTGGACATTTTTCAAGCCCACGATCATGGCTATCATCCGGCTACGAGTTATCGGAGCCACTTTATTAAATTTGCCGAGCGTCTCTATCGATTCATTGCCGGTCGTTAACGTGACCAATTATTCGCCGATAAAATGCTCAAATATGCCGCCGATAAAATCTTTCGATTTCGATTACCGTGTAATCGTCGATGAATATTTTTGAAAATTGGCACCAGATCGTGCGTCAGATCGCGTTTATGATATATAGGAGGGATATAATTCTCGTTCGAGCCTGAAATTTTCAACAATTTCGAATCGCTCTTTCCGAATGGCTTCCTTCCTCTCTGTGAAATTTTTCTTTTCCCTTCAAATTTTCGTAATTACAGGGTAAATTTCGTTGACAAGGAAACTGAGGTGAATTAAAAAAATAGACCCTTGATATGTGGAATTGGTATTTTAGTTATGTGCTAGAGCATCGAAAACTTGACTGTATTGTACGTCAAAATTTCAATTATTGCATTACCGCATTTGCACCTCTCGATCGGTAGAAACTTTATCATACAATTGGCCAGCGAGTTTACCAAATGGATCGCCTAAACCTCTTAAATAATAACGTTATCCGCTTCATCAACCGCTACTACGAAACTGCTACTGCGTATCGTAGTCGATAGTCGACGAATTCTCTGAAATATTTCCTTAGGGAGAGATGCGCCTTTTGGAATCGATCGTCAACCATAAAATTACGCAATTAAAAGAACCGAGTCCATTGATCTAACCGGTGACAAATTACAGTGACTCGCGTGGAAACAAGGTCGATCGAATCGACTCAGGCTCACTCGATGTCGATAAATCTTTTCGTTTCCGCGAGAAGGAACTTCCTGCGCGGTCTGAAAAGAAAAAGAATATATCTCTCTGAAGCGTCATCGTCATCGTCAGGACGTTAGTGCCGAGGGAAGTCGTCGGTCCAGAATTTTCGTTGAAATTCTAACGATGCTCAACCGGCGCCATTTTGGTTTCAGGTGTCCTGGATACGTAAAAGGGATTTACACATACTCACGTCGTCCATCTATGCGTACACGGGGGACGAAAGATTCTCCGTGAAGCACCCGGAGGCATCCGACGAATGGACGTTGAAGATCGATTATGTTCAGCAACGTGACGCCGGCGTTTACGAATGCCAGGTCAACACCGAGCCCAAATTGAATTTGGCCTTCACGTTGAGAGTCGAAGGTAAAACTGCCGTTATCCAAACGTTAGCCTAGCGATCAATCCTTTCGCGTGTTTCACCTTCGCGTTTGATTAGAATTTCCCGAATGTGTTGAAGCGACTGAACATCGAGACGGAATATCGATTTTTGCCGAATCTTTCGTTACGATATATTACAATGTAGTCTGTTCGAAGAAGTGCACTTTTCTGTACGTTTTAAGGAAACAATCTTCCGTATTTTTGAATATTTTCTAGATAGATCGTAAATAGTTTTATACGAAACTTTCTCAATTTATCGTACATTTTTGAAAGGTAATACATCTTTGCATGTAGCGAAATCATTTTTCTTTTCAACGTAGCCATCAGCTGAATCTCCTTCAGAATCAGTAAATGATACAAAAGCCAATAAACGTAGACTCATTGTGTTTTTTCCGTGAAGTCGTTGCATTACATATCATACACCGGTCAAGAATTAAGAATTAGGCCCTTCCGCATAAGTGAATTCGAAGAATTTAAACTGAACTCGGAAACAATCGATACTCTGTCTCTAGGTTTTAATCCCTCGCGAAACAGTGAACGTGTCACGTGAAAGGATTAATCGATCGATCGTTCCTTTGAATAAAAAATACTTCTACACCGTTGTAAATATTCCGCGTAATGGGGGTCTGAAAAGCGAAACGTATAAACAATTTTTTTTTTTCAACGCTTACGTATGTACGTGTCTACCACCTGATCGATCAGGAAAGATACACTTCCCCCCTGCCGGTATTGTCTCTGACTACGCACTAGCATGAGAAAAAGAACTTGAAGCTTTCCCGCTTGCATGCCTGTTACCGTGAGAACGTTTTATATTTTAAAGAGGTCGGCCTCTTCCTTCTATTTCACATTCTTTTTCTCTCACACGTTGGAATCTACTACAACCTCCCCCTACGCTTTCGTTCGTATTTCGTATCTGGACGTAACACTCTGACGCACAGGCGCCCTGTAAGCCGTCGATTTCGTCTCCTGGTACTTCTATTGCGCAATTAATTCGCCTAATTGATGGTCCTGTCAACGTCGGGCGCAGGTTGCAACCACGCAGCCGCGACAACACTTCAGATTACAAACAGTGGTTGACGTTACGTCGTCGATTAAAAGTCCTTCTGAATTATCGAGCATCGAGCATCGTGCATCGTTCGCGCGTTAAGCACGATCGAGCCGCACGGGATCAAGGTATTACGTTCACGTTCGTGATTTATTTTTCCGATGTTTTCGCGCGTAGTCGTATCAAGCGTGAACTGAATTGCTTAGTTAGATTTTTCACGGACAAAGGGAATTTAATCCATTTCGATAATTTTAGGAATGCAAATTTCAAGGATTTTTTGTAGTATTTCTCTCCACTTTCCACGATATTTTTCCCCATCTAGATTACTTTGCAGCAATGAGCTGCCGTATCTATCATTCTAATTACACCTGATGGTAATTTACTTGATTTGCGAATAATTACGCAACTCTTGATTAATCGATTCTTAATGAATCCTTAATGGATTAAATTCCACTAAAAATTGCGCAAACATTTTCTACATTTCTGTATAATGTATATGTGTTCCCCTAATTTTCGTACGTTTGAATTTCGCAAAACAGAAGAAAATGCACGAAATTTCGCAGTACAGGTACGATTAACGTAACATTATCAAACAACTCCGAAGCGTTCGCGTTTGTGTCGTTTGTTTCTCGCGTGTTTTCGCTGGCGTTGTTCCGTTCCGTTTAATTGGCGATTTTCATTATCAATTAGCAGTTGCATCGAAATTCCACGTGATTACGTTACTTTATCGAGTTACAATCGGCTCCTTTTTATCTTTCGCGGACTCTCTGTGCACCTATCGCCGGTTAACGAGCGTCAATTATTTAGTACTTTACACGTTTACGGAAGTTAATGATCATGTTTTATCGTAATTAGTCGCGCGACCGTTGACTCGTGATGAATAACAATGTGCAATGTTTGCGCGTAAATCGATCGCAAATAATCGCGCGATAATGCCAGTTTATATTTCGATAATTCAGAAACGAGTGACCTGTCGATTGTCCGCAGAGATATAATTTAACGATATTTCAGACACTTTGGCGAATAGTTGGTTAATCAGAGCCCGGTGCCAGTGGTTTAATTAGATAGCTTCTTCGTGTATCGTCACGTGAACGAAGTTGTTTCCGAGATTCCGAAGGGCATGCGTGTACGAGCAGCGCTGTTCGTTAATTATGTTCGTAGCCCCTGCGTGCACCTATCCCTGTCACGAGACAGCACATAGGTGTGCATAACATAGTAATTGCTCGTCAGTTGGTGGGAATCGATTTTTTTTCCAACGAAAATCGACGATCAATTAGTTGGCTAGTAGAACTAGACGTTCCTGCGACGTTCCAAAATCTCATTCGCGTTATTAAAATTTAGGAATTTAGAATTTCATTTTACAAAGTTATCTTGCCCGTCAAATATTGCAGAAAAACTTTTGTATTTTGTACTTTGAAATTTTCTCCTAAAAGTCTCTTTTAATATCAAAATATCTCTAAAGAACGAAACGAGAGAGAAAGAAAGAGAGAGATAATAGAAATTTCACATAGTCAGTAAAAGAACCGCAAAGCTGTTATCGCGATAGAAGGAAACGACGAGCATGAGTGGAGACAAGAAAAGGGGCCGTGAACGTCATGAATGAACAACGATGCACGCGCTGCATAACCTACATATATGTATACTATAAATATATATATACGTATATATGTATATACATATATCCGAATTGAACAGCGAACGTAACCCATACCAGTATGGTTTCGGTGGCAGTTCAATCCCCGGGCCACCCACACGAAACGTCGGTAGATCTCTCTCGACGAAATCGATTAACTCGATATCTTTTCTGTCCTCCCATTCCAGAAAGTGCCCCTGTCCCCGCCACCACCACACCGAACGCCATTCACCGGACGTTCAACTCAGGTTAGAGAATCACGCAAGAACAGAACTCCTTTTCCAAGCTGTTGAACTTGCTGCTATAGACGTTTCATTGCGATCGGTGTGTTGTAGATCACCGATGCTTGCTTCTCTCTTCTACATGTATATATACATATATGTATATGTATATATGTATGTATGTATGTATATGTATAATCCATTTACTCTGTGCGTGCTCTATCACTGCATGCTGCATTCACCTCCCATTTAACGTTAATTAATTCAACGCCCTCCCACCAACTGCCGGATGGTTTTTGTTTCACGAGGGACCGGTCGAGCTGACTTTAGCCGAGGGATACGTTTCGCTGATCGCCACCCGGTGACCCAGAATCCGGTCACGTATGCGGCGACACGCGTTTTCTAATTGCCCGGGAATCACAATCCCGCGGAATAATCGAGTCTGATGAACTTTCCTAATGTACGAGATACATCGAAGAGATAATTCGCGCGCGTGCTCGACCCGCCCGTCGCTGGATGTTCCAACGTTGCACACGCTTGGCTATCGCTTCCGCTTTGACGTTTGATAATTCCCTTCGACGTGCGATACACCGACGACAAAAAAGAGAAGAAGGCGATTTTTGTGCGCGAAGGACAAGATCGATACGCGTCGGATGAAATTTTTTTATCGATCTCGAATGATGACTCGCGAACCAGCATTATTTTGACATTATTTCATAGCGATGTTTGTTTCCGCGATTAACTTTTGGCAAGTTAGAGAAAGCCGCAGAGTTCGCATTCGATTAAATGAGAAATTTGTCCCGAAAAAAGCGATATTTTAAATAAATTTTAGTTTCGCTCGGAGTTTAATTATTACATGCTTTCCGACATACTTTCAATTCGAACGTTAAAATGATCCTCGCGTTCTAATTGTGAAAGCGAGATGTTTAAAGACAGAGTCTCGTACGAGAAAATACTGTTTCATATTCTGTCACACACGTACGTAGAATCGTGCTTTTCACACGTTTTCCAATTGCATCTTGATTACTGGGAGCACCCAGTACATCTTCTTGTTTACCCGTTGGAGATACGTGCCGTGGATTTATTTTGACTTTATCGATCGGTGGAAGACAGTAGATTTTTTTGTTTCGAGATAAACCCGATGGCCCGTTTCAAAGAATGCGATTGCATCGAGACAAAAAGTGCCATATGAATGGGAAAGGGTCTCCGCATGCATTTATCATAGCACGAAATGGTGTTCTGCGTCGCATTTGGCATGACTTACGATAGAAATTATAATGAATAATACGAGTGCAATAATTTCTTTTCGCTGGCGAACGCTTTCACGTGCACGTACACGCACACTGGGCTTGATCAGGTTGCTCTAACTTTATTTGTCACTCTATCTCTGCTTCTCTACTATCATAGCAATTAAAATATTCACGGCAACATCATAAGTTTCGGCTGTGGTTTTTCCTTTTCCGTTTTCGTCGACCTCAACTTCGAAGTTCCATTAAAACTTTCGCGAAATTCGTTTCGAATGTTAGTCACGAGCACGGCCACCAACTTGGCGAATACTCTCCCGCAACCATTTGCATACGGCATTACACACGCCGAATTTAAGTTCATTCGCCACAATTTGCTGATACCGGATCTTATGATTCGCCACGATTACCGTACCGATTTACACAGCGATTCAAAGTAATCCCATGAAGTTCGGAGCGGCAACTTCTCGTTTCCATAAATAGGCACACGATTTACTCATTAACGCTGGAACTGTACCGTAACGTCTGTTAAACATACCGATTACGTTCGAAACGCGTCATAGATATTTGTGATTAAAACAACGAGTCAGAAATGAATAGAAAAATACAAAGTGGCAGAGCAGCGACTCACGAAAATTGACATTTTTACTCCTGTACGTTTAAAATTTGTGCTTGAACGTTCATTTTCTTTTTATTCGGTCGTTATTGCAAATTGGTATAATCTAATTTAATTGAGATTATTGCTCGCCAAACGATTTTTGAATATTTTCAAAGAGCGGGTCAATTAGCGAGTTCTCCACATGCAAACGGCATAACGTGCCGTTTCTTGATTTAATTTTCAGAAACCAATGAAAATTCCCTGAAAATTCTTCCAGCGTTAAATTTTTTACAACTTTTCTTGCAACTGTGTCGCGCGTTGCGAAAATTTCGATAAGCTTGAAGCTAGAAACGAAAAGTCCCGCCGCTGTATCGTAAATTTTGAAATATGTAACCGCGTGTCGTGTGTGTTTTCGGCTTCGATGTCGCTTCGCAGGTGGGTGGGTGGGGAAGGGGACAGGGGGACGACGTGGTTTTAAAGGAAGTGTGCAAGATTCATGAGACAGAGGTAGACAGGCGGTCGTTTCGTATCTCCGGCGAGAAAAGAGAACGAATAAACGAAATTTAAACGGGACCGAGGACGGAATGTTTAAGTGGCCGATTTCCGATGTATGTTGCAGCCGCTCAGGCGAAAATCCTGGGTCCGGAAGACGTCTACGTGAAGAAGGGTAGCACGATAAGCCTCACGTGCTCCGTTAATGTGCAAAGTACACCGCCCAGCAGCGTTTCGTGGCATCACGGTGGAGCTGTGCTGGATTTCAACAGTCCCAGGTACAAGCCACGAGAATCAAGTTCTCGAGTTCTCTCCGTAATGCTCCTTACTCCTATTGCCTCATTCTCTCTCTCTCTCTCTTTCACCCTTCTATTTCGCGATGTCATCGAAGAGGAAACGAAGAATCGAGAATCTAGTGGTCGTACGATCATTGTCGCGCGCTCTAAAAAATCTCGTAAAATTTCTGAGTTGCGAATTTCCAAGCCTGCGGTGCCAGGCTCTGTGATCCCGATTCAGAAAAAGATACGTATTAATTCGAGTAACTTTCGTTTCGACGACTTTCTCGGGGCGTCCTCGATAGCCTGGAAAATGGCACTTTGTCTCGCGAGGCGAAACTTTGGAGGGAAGAAGATAAAACAGACAGAGAGAGAGAGAGAGAGAGAGAGAGAGAGGTTCTCGTTTCGAAATGCTATAACAACGGAGGATAGCGACGATATCGGCGGTGTCTCGCCGCGTCCCCGACAATCGTCCCCCAACTCGTAGAAAACGCACGGAGTGGCCCTCCCCCGTAATAGTCGCGAGCGTAATCGCGCGCACGACGGTGAATGGGAGCAAAGTGTCTTTGATAATTCAGCGTTCACCGTAGGGGCGGGGTTTCCTTGGAGACGGAGAAGACGGAAAGCAGCACGACCAGCAGACTTCTGGTGACACAGGCCAGATTGACCGACAGCGGAAATTACACCTGCATTCCGAGCAACGCGAATCCAGCCAGCGTAATGGTCCACGTGCTGAATGGTAAGAGCCGTTTTTATTCCCTGAACTCTCGTTCGAAAACCGTCCGGGTCGACCAAAGCCGCTTTCCTGTCCCTTGTCTCTTGTCCCTTGTCCCTTGTCTTTTCTCCCTCTTTTTCATGGTTTAACTTAATTTCTACGGGACTCGAGAGCGACGATCAGTCTTGCGCCTAGACGTAGCTGCGCCGTGACACACTAGTTTCTTAATATCGATCCGCACTCTTCTTCTAACGCCGCTCATCCTCGCCGAAAGTATCCGCACGGCGATGCGCTTATCTCCCGTTTCGCCGTTTCGCCGTATCCCCCGAAATTTACCCTCTCTTTCTTCCCTTTTCTCTCGCGCCTCGTTAACTCTCACGCCACGGCGAGTCCCGTAGGAATTACAACCGCGTTCAGCCCCGTATCGATTCCACCATCACGGCAAGAACGTTTACGAATTCATCGTTTTCGGTGTTACGGCGAAATGCGAGAGAGAGAATACTCGTTAATAACTCATTCGTCGGCGATTCGGTTATTACATCGTTGCTCAGAATTGTTTCGATGATTAATTACTGTTAAACCGATTACCACGAAAAGGAACGCGTGATACGCGAATGATTTTCGGGCCTTTGTTTGGAAAAGGGAGAGGAAAAAGAAATAGAAGGAGAGAGGAGCGCGGTGCGTGGAAATCCAGGAAACTTGAGCGTGGAATCGAAACTCACCCCCCTCCAACCCCTTCGTTCGTTTGTTGATTCGCGTTTTATCCGGATATGGAGAAATATTCCTCCCCCGATCGATTTATTTTTATATTTCCAGCCGAACGCTATCTACTTTGAATCTACACAGCGGCTCTTTCTCAATACGCCGGCGTCGATACGCGGCCGCGTTTCGTTTTTACGCGCGTGTTTTCCTCTTACTTTTCTTTCCCTCTTTTCTCCCCTTCTGTCCGTGACACAGGGGGCAAATCGTTTAAACGTTCCGTTACGTCATGCACACGGCCTTCAATAAACGTCGCGAGCAAACGCATTTAAGTGGTGGAATCGCGTGGAAAAATCGGCGAGAGCGTCTCTCTCTCTTTCTCTCTCTTTCTCTCGCCTCGAGCCGGGTTAAATCGCGAGCATTTCAACGTTCGCGCGACTCCTCTTGCTTCTTCAGCCGACACACGCGTCCCCGGAAACTTTTCCCCTGACGTTTCATCCTTGCATTCAAAGAAGACGCATTATCTTTTCCACCGAAAGGGGAAACGTTGTCGCGATGCCGAGAAGGAACAAGTTTGAGCTTCAATTTCAACACTTAGAAAAATTCTCTGTGTCACTGTGATTTTTGTAACTGCTTTCTGCGTGTGAAACACACTTTTGTACGTGTCGCGTGTATCTTTTAAACTTTGCTCAAGAAATTCTGCTCAAGAGCCTGTTTGTAAATAATTCGTTCGGTGTTTCTGTACTGACGAATATATCGAAAAGACTAGTTAAAGAAACAACGTCCACCAAGTATTATTGTATATTACATTTTTATTAACATCGCAATTGCGCGTGTAATTGTTATTGTTATTATTCAATCATATTACACAATTATTCGCTAGAGTGAGCCCGTTTCACGGTTGCCCGGAGGGACCGATCGATCGCCCGTGTATTTGGCCGCAAACATCATAGAAAATTCTGTATCGATCTGAATCGCGGCAACAGCCCTGTAGAAAATCAGTCTACACAGAACGTGTAGACCGCCGCGCCACAACAGAAACCGCACGGACTCTCTATCAATTTTATTTCCCTAAAGTACACGATGGAACCGTCGGACCACCCGACGTCGTCTGACACTTTGAAAATCATGGAACGCTGGTGGACACGCTGGTGTTGTCCGGCCAAGCCGGTTGGACGTCGAAGATGTATCGCCGCCCCTTCGCGCCGCGATTGTTCGACAAATTCGCCGACAATGGTTGTCCCGTGAAGGGACGCGACTTGAATGGCGCGAGAGCGAGCGAGCGAGCGCCAGGAGCAGAAGCTCCTGGAAACGCGAGAGGCGGAAAAGGGTCCGGGACGTGTTCATTCATCAAGCATCGAAATCCCTCGTCATAAAGTTTGACAAGCTCGTATATTGGGGCCGCGGCAAGTACTCGGCCCCTATCCCACCGATGCTCACGCGTACACTTGGTTCTGATCTATTGTCAGCCGGCAACATTCGCGATAACGCGTGCAATATCTTGCGCGGCAACTTCGCCAATCCAGTCTGTCAATCATCAGGCAGAACGCGAGCGAGGTGGTCGGCCTCCTCATTCGTGCAGAAAGTAACACGGGGATTGAAACACGTCACGCCGCGCAACTTGACGACTCACTCTCGCCGCGCTTTATATGGGCTCACGAGATCGCGCACTGTTTCAGGGAAATTATCGGCGAAGAATCGCCTACAGAGTAATTGGCGAGTGCCGCGGAGTGTTCTTTTTTTTTTTCTTCTTTTTGTTCTGTTTGAGCTTTGCTTCGAAACCTCGTTTGAGGTTTGTTGGAGCTGTATCTGTAGAAACTGAAATAACGAAGAATGTTGTATAAACTTTGTACATTAAGGTTGCAGTCTTTAAGAAACGGATGTGGACGAGTGGTTGCCAATCTTTCTTTGGCCATCTTTAGAATTCTGATGTCCCGCCTCTGTGACACGTAATTCCTATTATTCAAAAAGTGAATTTTCAACTAAGCGGAGAAAGTTTTAATTTTACATTTAAAGAAATGCAAAAATTTCACCGTTAGTAACTCATTCTCGAGTTGACTTCTCCTGGAAAATCACGTTGGCAACCGTGTGTAGATGCAATAGCAGGCCGGGACACCTGGTTTAGCAATTATTATGTCGTACTTTTAGGAGCAAGAGTAATTTGTATTTGCTGAGGTTTTTGATAAGTTTGATCCTTTGGGAGTCAACTGAACAGAGTCATATTGCAGTACGATGTAATCAGGGAAATTCTGAATCACGAAATAAGACGAAATGGACATCGGGCAAAGGCAGTTTTTTGAAAAAAAAGGCAATTAAAGGCTCCAAAAACGTAGGATTTTTTCTTTTTCAAAAAAAAAAAAAAAAAAAAAAGTTTAATTTTAATCCCTGCATTTCGTAGAAAGGGGATACTTTGGTGTACGTAATC